GTCATAATATCTTGTCTTCCTATATGTACATATAAAGAATATGGCTTATATTGGATTGCTGCTGATTTGCAATCAGCAAATAGCTGCAGAGTTCGCGGCTTATTGCAAAGGACGAACATACATTAACCTTAAAAAATCCATGACATGCTTAAGTAAGAACATTGTTAATTGCTATGATACCAAATTACCACCCATTTGAAGAAATACGGATGGATAAGTTACTTTGTTACCTTTATTTACTTCACAACACAAAGCAAATCAATTTTCTTCAGAGAATAAAATATATCCATTTATTACATAAATATCACATAAGAGATTATGCAAGTTTAATTACAGATCAGTGGTGCCTCTTGCTTTTTAGAATATCTAAGCGCCGTAGGGCCTAAATAAACATTGGAGAGGCGGGGCTGCGTCAGTCAGATGCGGACGTGAAAGCTTAATGTGTTTAGCTATTATTGCTTATAATATATGCAGTAATTAGTTTACTTAATATTATAATATTAAATTTGTTTATATATTAAATATATAATATACATACATTTTCCTAAAAAACTACATAGAGTGGAACGCAGTAGCTTGGTAGACTTTGAAATAAGTCATCTCAGTTTTTTAGCCAAAACGGAAAGGTGATGAAATATAGAGTGAGGACTTAAAAAATAATGAAATACTTTAAAATATTTCTAGATATTTTAAATACTGTCTGATCTGTCGTAACAGGCTCTGATATTCTGTATATCATAGTATATAAAATATAAGATCATCATAAGATGAGATGACGATATAGAGTATAAACTTTATATACTGATAGCTATATAATGTAGACTTTTGATGACTTAATAAGCTTTTGAGAACATTGTATCAAAAATAGATAAAAATAGCATTTGTGTGAGGAATAATTCTTTAATATCAATAACGATCAGGGCAAAGCCATAGAAATTAAATTTAACAGTTTATTACAACTGTATTTTGTACGCTAGGTACAGTGAGCGATGCCTAGGGGAGCAATTAATGCTGAAAGCTCGAGCAACTCAAAGCTAATAGGTACGTGTCAAATAATATTTACGCGCTTGCGGCTACATCTACACTATAATATTTGTCTATGACGACTGACTTCAGCAAAGGCATTTGTTTAAAAAAGTAGGATGCCTTACCTTTAAATATATATGCGTTATGCATTATTTTATATATATATATATATATATATATATAAAATAATGCATAACGCATATATATATATATATATATATATATATATATATATATATATATATATATGCATTAATTTTAAAGTCCTAATAATCAAGATGTCATTAATATCTTTAACTTTGTTGTTATATAAAAGTAAGACAATATGTAAGAGTAAAAGCAAAAGGTAACAGACGTTGGAAATGTGTTGAATTAGATATGAAAAGTAATGATAAGATGTAGGTATATTAAGGAAACGTGACATCAGAAAATTAAAGTGTGCTCAGATGGTTTACGCACGTAGAAATGAAATGAGATAATATTATATGCACGTACATTATATAACATACTAGAAAACTGTCCCAGCTTTACATCTGAACAATAATATTTTCCATAAAAGCTCATTACCAGAGAGAGAGAGAGAGAGAGAGAGAGAGAGAGAGAGTGTTCAAGAAGAGATGAATTAAAAAACTTTTTAAATACTTCTTATTATCCTAATAAAGAAATGAGTTTTTAAAAATTCACCAGAAATTGTGGGTTATGGCTAGGGTATTTATGTATAACGTTATGCTATTTTTATAATAGCGGCCTGGATTGGTTTCGTCGGTCGAAAAATATTTTTTCTTATACAACCATATTCACTCCCTTTAATTTTTTGAGGAATTGAATTTGAAAAAATCCATTTCTTAGTGCTTAGCTGCCTGGGCGTTGACAAATCAATCAGGATAAGTAATTATATGTACATTTCTATTGTATTGTAGAAAGAAGACCTCTCGTTTATTTGAAGAATTGTAAAATAAATTAGAGCATAATTATAACAGTATACATAATTATGATAGTATTACGATTATTGCTTTTTTTTGCCCTTGGCATAAAGAACATATGTGTAGATTTTTAGTACAATTATTATTAACTAGCAATCCGCCCGCGTTCACATGACCAAAAACCAAATTCTTAGGTTTTACATATTAGTATACTCTTACATTGCAGTTTTTGTATTTATTCTCAGAAATGAGATATTTTCCCACGGTAAAAAGTATCCTATATGTTAACCCGGATAACCAGGTATCACCATACCAAATTTCATCAAAATTCCTCCAGTGGTTTTTCTGTGATACGGTAACAGGCAGACAGACAGACAAATATTCTAAAAACTATAGATTATAATGTTTATTTCAATAAGATTTTCCAAAAAATATTTAATGTACAGATTCAGCTTGATTACAATTTTATTATATGTATATATAAAAATTGATACGTATATAAATTAAATATATTTCTTAAAATAGTATAATTTGCTTAGCTTAAAAGGTCGATAAAATTATTAATATTATAGATTTAAAAGTAGTTTTGTTGGTGAGTCCATCTTTTAAACAACGAGGGGGTAACACATGGACGTGTTTTATTGCATCGAAATAGTTTATTGGTCAAAAAGTGCTATAAAGTATAAATGCATTCAGGTTTAGAAAACGTTTATGTCAAAATGGCGTAATATATTAGCAGAACATTTTCTGAATTTCTGTTACTACAATGATTTTTGTTTTATATACATACATACATACATACAAGAGGTAGTTTCTTGAGTGTTCAATACGAGTTCGGTTCTCAATTTTCACTTAATTAAGTGAAGAGACACTAAGACTTGAAAAGTGAAGTGAAGCGAAGTGATAGTAGAAATAATATTGGAATACTCCGGGACTGAATTAACCACTTGACTATCGATATACTGTAAGTATACCTGAAATACTATTATTATTATTTATATTTATGTTTTACAATTTTATTCTCCTAGGTGACTAGGGTAGGTATAACCGATTAAATAAAAAATAGCCAATCAAAAACTGCTATTATTATTATACTAAAATCAATAAAAAATCTACATGTATTGTAAATGATCATCTTCAATTTGTGATCCCATAACCACAACTCGTACGTACCTACTTTTTTATTCGGCTTTATATCCAATGCCTCCTCTCAACTAATATACGTATTTGATTTGCACAGTTTGCATTTCTAGACCTTCATAAATTTTCTGCTTGGCAAAAAATGGAACAAAACTTGTTCGTCTTTTACATGTAATCGTTACACGCATACAGCTATGATATAAGCACGGGAAGCGGTCCAAGAACTTTTCTATACTATACACTTGGTTGATGGGAAACGAAAATTCACACGCAACGAATCACTAATAGGTCTAATCACTTCCTATCTGATCTCAAATAGAATGCTGTGAAAGTGAGATATACATAATATATGGAAGTACGTACAAAGCTAGACTCTATAGTAATATGTTTTATTTCGATTGGATTTTACCTATTTTTTAGTCATCTTGCTAATATAACTATATATTATGCATATAATAAGAAGTAAAAATTTATAATAATAATGTCTTTCCGACCGATTTCGGCGGCCAATCTCATTGAGACTAGCTATCTGCGTAGGAGATATTATAGAGCACAAGTGTACGCGCAGACACAATGTGCACTCTCTATTCCTGTCACTCTCATACTCCGGTGGGACGACTGCTCGACACGACCAGTGAGAGTTAAGGCGCAGGATCGACGGCTTTACGTGCTCTGCGAGGCATGGGGGTGAAACACCGCCAACCTCTCAACTCCGGGCTGTTACTTGGCCCGACCCAGGACTCGACCCAGGCATGTGCAGCCGTACAAGCTAGCAACTACACCATCGAGGTAGTAAAAAAAAGTAAAAATTGGAAAGCTATAAAAATTAATTATTGGCGTTAATACAAAAGAGTATCAGAAACAACACGTGTAATATTGTCATACATTTCAAAAACCTACTAAATATGATACGAATACCATACAAGTTTATAGCTCAGTGTAAACAGATGGTATAGTAAATTGTGTGTGATTAGATGAAATTGGTATACTCACGCAACGTCCTAATATAGCGTATGCGCACGTATTCATAGAAATTGTACTTTTATAACATTTTATTATCCATGCATCTTATTTTTTCAGTTACTTTATAAAATTAATTTATTTAAGGTTTGTAAAAACCACTTCTTTTTTCGTAAATATAGAAAAATATATATTTTCAAGCGGTATATAAATTTAAATTCAAAATATTTTATTCAGAATTAAATTATTACAATTTGTTACTGAACGTCATGAGTCTACTACCAGTTCGGAAAGAAGAAGCCTCAGACCTGAGAAGAACTGGCGAAACCCTAGTATACTATTAGATGAATGATTGTACTACATATTTGACAATTTCTATAATATTTTAATTATTACATTCATCTAGTAGTAATGATCTATGTAATTCAAATTTCATTTAGTTCATGCGACTGTCTTGTCTGTTGTGTGCATATCTAGTAACGGTACTATGTAATTTAGAAAAATGATTAGCAATTTCAAACATGTTCTAATGCCTGTAGGAACATTTTGGTTTTTTATTTACAAGTATATAAAATATATAAAAAATATATATTTTATAGAAAATTAAGTATTTGAATAGACAAATAATATCTAAATGGTATCTATTAATATTGATTAATAATAATATTAATAAAAAGAATATCCTATTAAGTTACTATGTTGTTATTAATTACGCGTATTTAATTTTCTTTTACATTAATTGGTGTCCAGGTGTACAATTTTATGGTAAAACAAAAGAAATATTCATTCCAAACCACTTTATTACTAGCGCAAATAAAAACCCTTATAAAATATTTAACGTGCAACCATATGCTATTTGCTTAAACTATTACGAATATCAATACAATTTTCATTCACCATTTTACAAGCATACATCAAGGATGCATTTTTTTTATTCTCCTAGAAAGTTTATAAAACAACATAGGTAGGTTCAGTAGTAATTCCACAGTCAGTATTTCGTGTAGATATATGGAAATATCCATCGATACCCCAAGTTCTGCCCCATGAGTTCTTAACGATCCAGTATTCTTCATCATCACGTACACCGTATCCTACTAAAGTAACTTCGTGATTGAGCACTGTTTTATCACTAAAATGAATAATTATTAAAATCAATTAATTTGCTTAAATTCGTTTAAAAACATTGATTCTTTTAAAGATTTAAATAAAAATTTGGATTTAGGTTTCTTGTTTCTAAAGATTTTTATGACTTTAAAGACTCTGTAATTTTTAAACAAAATATGCTTGCAGAATAATTTTTCCATATCAACTGTGTGAGTTTTTAAAATTGTTTATTTTTAATTTTAATTGTTTGAGGGTAGCAGGTTCATGTTTAGACTGGTTTAGTTACAGCTTCCTTAGACATTTGTGCAATTTCACTTCAAGAAATTCTAAGCTTTATAGCTTTATAATAATTAAGAATGTTATATTTAAAAGATGTGTATTTAAAAAAAATATGTGTATTTAAAAAGTGCATTTCACTTACCACTCACTATCGAACATGATACCGCTAGAGTAGAGAGTGAGTGCGGTTGTGGCGTCAATAGATACAGACAGTGGTCCATGATTTATTAAGGCTACCTAAAATAACAGAAGAAAAATGATTAATTCGCAATTATTATTAATTAGTCAAGTCGCTAGTATTGCAAATTAATTAAATGAAATTAAATGTTGTTAATTGAAATATGAATAATAAAAACAGGTTCATATATACATACAACAAATGTAGTAATATACATATAAATTATAAAGATAAAAACCCCGACTGCGTAAAAAACGAACTCAAATGATGGGAACAAGTTTTCAAAGGTACAACATAGTATTATTCAGTCACTTACATACATACATATGTACACATAGCAAGACTCGCAGCCAGTAAAAAACATGTATGTATGTATGTATGTATGTCCTATGAACATACCTTCGTTTGGGAATTAAGTACTTAATTTTTGAAGTATGTCAATAAACAAATGGAAAAATGCAAACAACTTTAGGAGTGAGCTCTTGTCATTTATACTTCAATCAAAAATAAGTTGATTGAAGCATTTATGTTAGCAATGTAAAGATATGGAAACTCTTTTTAGAATCAGATATTTTAATTTTATGTACAAGAAAGAAAGAAGAAAATATGAGTGAGAGAGAGAGAGAGAGAGAAAATGGTTACTATTATTTTAAGTTATAAATTGAACATTAATTAAATTATTGTGGAACGATCGATTGAATTTGTTATTATTGTTACCTTGAGAGCTTCCACGCTGAAAGGAGTGACGTCAGTAAAGCCTTTTATTGGGTAAAGTTGTGTCATATTTTTAATTCGACAAAAACCATCCTGAAAATTAATAACAATTTTATATTAAAGAATATTTTGTAATAATTTTTGGTAAACCTATTTTTTTCTTTTCAGTACTTTTTTTGTAATTATCGCGTTAGTATATGTAGGTTGGTTTAACTTTGAAAAGAACTTAATTTAATTACTTTGTTAGAGTAAGGGCCGTATTCTTCTTCTGTAGGTAAACCATATTTCATCATCCAGTGATAGGCAGCGGTATCAGAGCCTCCGTCACAGCCTGCTGCGTGGAATCTATAACATATTTTCAAATTAGTTATAGTATATTTTTATCGGTGAAAAAAAATTGTAATTTTATTTCATGTAAATTTTTATCCAAAAAATATTAATAATAAATTCAATAATTTTTATTATGCATGATACTTTGTTAGATTTAAGTGAATATTTGACACTTTGAATAAAACATCTATTCGGATTTTTTTGCGGATTTGTTTTCATTTGTGATTCCCGCCTTTCCGAATACTCTTTAAAACATAATTTAAAAAATAATAAGAAAATGTATGAAGATACATACCCCCAAGCGCAATCAATTAGAGCCTGGTTCGCTAATCTTAAAAGCCTGCCTCCATTTTGACGTGCTAGAGCTCCTTCTACAGCACTTGTTGTACCAAACGTCCAACACGAGCCACACATATCTTGATCTAAAATGGTAAATAATAAATTAATAGTAAAAAAACATTTAATTAAATTTAATTTAAAAACAAAATTTTACAGGATTATTTTCTTCTTTTTAGCGCATTAAAACTATCTAATATTTTAGTTTACAAGTCATGGTGTGGGTGCACTTTTTAATTATTTGTTTCGTTTATAGCCAATCGTAGATGTGAGAGTCAGGTCATAATTGTCATAAGAAGTCATTCTCATTTGAACTGAACCAACATTCCAAATTTCAATTCTGTAGGATAAGAGTACGTGGTTTAAATTCAGCTTGCAAGATAAGGCCCATACAAACATACCAACTAAGAAATTTGAAAGTGTTTTTGTCGCTTTGTTTCATACAGTAATAGAGTGACGACTCGTTTTTTTGTACATGTGCCAATATAATATGGGCAGGAGTGATATAGGCTACTTTTCATTCAGGAACAATAAGTGGTCTCCGTGGAATAATATTCTATTGCGAAAAGTAGCCTAGAAACGTATCTAAATGGAAATAGTGCGGGTTACTAATTTTTATTCACATTATAAGGTCGGTTATACTAAGTTTTTTGAACGTTTTATTTAATTTTTATTTAATTTTTTTTTAATTTTCTTAATAAAAATTATTATTACCTTTAACAGGCGTTATAACACCTAACATCCTCAAGTCGAATTCTTTTGGTAGGTCCTTAGATATGTCAGCAATTTCAGTTTTACTGTATGGAAATGGAACTGTTCCTATCTGCCCCTCTTTCCTTCTGCGCAGTCCTTTCATTTTCTTCATTTCTTCAGGTGTACGGTCAGAAAATTTGTTGATACCAAGTTTAAACGAAGTGTTTTTACGATTATGATCTTGGACACGTCTATAATAGAATATTGCAAAGTATATAATAAAATATAGAACCTTTTTATTATTTCTACATTTAATGTATTCAAATCTGCAATATTAAAGTATGTATTCTAATATTATAAAGAGGATACATTTGTTTTGTTTGTTTGTATCGAATAGGTTCCAAAATTACTATACCGATTTAGATGAAATTTGATAAGAAGATAGTTTGAGACCATGGCAATGATATAGGATAGTTTTTATCTCGAAAATCATTCCTTAAGGACGTGAAAATGGGGGTGAAAGTTTGAATGGAGAAGCAACCTAAAAATAAAATGATTACCTTAGGTTTTCAGCGAAAATATTCTTTCTCATTTCATGTTCAGTTTGGTCATTGTATTGCCTTCCGTGTTCAGCTACAAACCTTTTTCAATAATATATGAAATCATTAATTATAGAAAACATGACACAAACAACAAAAATCTGTAGACTTAGTTTTGTGTATAAATAATATATTTTATTATAACAATGAGATAATAATTGTTATCAATCGCTACTGTCACTGAGTATTTTGTATAATTAATAATCAATAAATTTATATAAAGAGATTTCAGTTTCGTATGAAATAGTATACGTAGTAGCCATTAAAAGATTTTACTTTAATGAATGTCGATATAATAAAAATTCTGCTTGCATTATAGTTTAAAATATTTATTATAAAAAACTTTAAATATGAAAAGAACAGAATTAAGTTATATGTGGGATTATGTTTTAGCAAAAGAAATATATGTATATATATATATATATATGTATATATATATATATATATATATATATATATATATATATATATATATATATATATATATATATATATATATATATATATATATTAATATCATGTTTACCTTTTAAATTCGCGGTCTACGTGATTCTCACTGTCAATGTGAGTTTTTAGATTATTATCCTCTGATTGTTCAGATTCGGTACAATTATCTAAAAACATGTTCATTAATAAATATGTATATATATAAAGTTCATATTTAAAAACATTGCCATCACGGTATGCCCGGCAGATGTGAAACATCTATATTAATATTAGAATTCATAATTAATAAAAACCTATAACGAAATATGGAGTAAAATAAAGAAAAAAAAATATTTTCGCTTAAAAAAACAATTTATTTTTTATTATTTTAATTATGATAATATTCAAATATATTAAAAAACATTCGTAAATAGAATAGAAAATATCTGTGTATTTTCAATAGAAACTGTTTTACAATGAAACGTGTGTGTATAGTATACGAGCACACCCACGTTTCACATTAAACATTAAAAAATGTGTTTTTACAGAATTGTTTTCTTTTTAACTCCCGACGCAAAAACGACAGGGTGTTATAAGTTTGACGTGTCTCTGTGTGTCTGTTTGTGGCATCGTAGCTCCCGAATAGATGAACCGAATTTGATTTTGTTATTCTGGTTGGAAAGGTGAACTAGTCGGGAGTGTTATTAGTTATGTTTGATGAAAATCGGTCCAAGCCAAAAATGGGCGGATTACATATTTTTTCACAACTCCCTCAATATAGATATCATATGAAAGGCCCTGACTAGTAGAATACTATACACTATAATAAATTTCAAATCCATGATGTCACCACAAAATGGCGAGTTACATGTCGGGGGTTTTTTAAATATTTAAAGTAATTTAGTTATGTATGTAATGAGTCAATTATTTGTACATCTTTGAAGTTATTTATTTTTATATAGCATATTAGTTTTTTTACATAATATATGTAATTGATGTTTACTAATATTCTTAAAATACTTACATTGATCAACATCAAAGACACTATCTTCGAAATCCGCTTCATAGTTGATGATATTCCATATATAGTGATCCTTAGCACTTCCCACCCACGTATTGAATTTCATTTCTTCGATTCTAGAAACGTTGAAGGAGTTAATTTTTCATAGAACACATTGAGAAAATAAATAAAGTAAAAATTTTAAACAAAAAAAGAGATTGTAAGAAAAGAGGTTCGAATTTTATGTGAAAATCCATTTTTCAAAGTTACATTGACTGCACTTGGAAATTAACTACAATTATTCTAATTCAAAGTTGTAAACAGTATATTCTAAGAAAACTAGGGGATGACTCGATTCTAGCATTTAGATTTCTATATTATACATACTTTACAGGTATCCAAGACTTATTGTCCTTGTCTAACATAGCCCATACATATGTCCTTTCTTCAGTGTTTTCATAATCGTCTTTGTCGGTACTAGCAAACTTATAAACTTCACCTGTTTCTAATATATCTTTGCCTAAAAATATAAAAGTCATAATTTTAATATTTTAAAAAAATTAAGTAACGGAGAAGTTTTCATTTTGTAAATGAATTAATTATAATTAAAATTAAAAATAACACTCATATTAAGAATATCATGAAACTTCTCCATTATGATAAAAAAATCTTAAAATAGAATTAAAACTTATATTATTAAAACTAGATTAAAAAATACGTTCCTAGAACATTATAATATAAAAAATTTTACTAACCAACGAAACCATCTTCGAAAGACCATGACGATGGTAAAATATCTTCGACTTGGATTATATGTCCTATAGTGCCATTGACATAACTACAAATGATTTTGTTATCATACTCCTCTGTTGTTACGGGAAAAATCTGTATTAAAATAAAATAAATCAATAATTCAAATACGTATATCATGGTAACTTTTAGGTAAAATATATATCTATGATAATTTTACGTGAACGGACGTATTATAATTATAAATTAAGAAATTAAAAAACCCCTATGCCAATTAATTGTCATTTAACGATTACACTGGCACGCGTGGAGCACTTACTCGAGTAATCATACGCCAAAATGCCTTACATCATTTTGGAAAAGAGCTGATATTCTTACACTGCTGGACCGATATTAACCAAACATAGCTAAGAACCACCGTAAGGAAACTCGCTTTCAAATGAAAAAAACCGCATCGAAATCGGTCCATTCGTTTGAGTGCTATGGTGGCATCACACACACACACAGACAGACATCGACGTCAAACTTCTAACACCCCTCTTTTTGCGTCAGAGGTTAATAAAAACTTATACCGACTTCGAAAATATCTGATCAGGTATCTTCAGTAAATGAAATCCCCCGTTCAGTTATTTTTTATTTTTTAGTGCCTGGAAGACGTCTTAAGTTTTTATTTTTTGTGTTTTTAATAACATATTTGATTAAGCCATTTAAGTTAGTATGCTGTCAAATTTTATATGAAGATAAGAAACTAAAAAACTCACTTTTATTAGTAACATTAAAAATCAGGTTTTAAAATCCAATTCAATAATATTGGGCTTGTCAAATGAAATTAAATAAACTTAAACTCTAAGTATTTACAAGTAGCCGTTGAAGGGTTCCGTTATCCACCTTCTGGCTTCACCATCAGATCAGCTCGATGATACCAAATAACTTACTTCAAAATTCATGTTTTTTTCTGATTTTCTCGACAACGGTATACTCTACAGTCTACGTTAAAGAAAATTTTATGGAACCACCTAGTAATTTACCTTAAATACAATACCATTTAAAGAAGCCAAATCGGTCGAGCCGTTTCCGAGAAAACGGTGAACATACATAAAAAAACGTAAAGACGAACATAGAATCTCCACTTTTTTGGAAGTCGGTTAAAAATCACGTTTCGACCATTTCTTTAGATAGTACTATATTATAGAGAAGCAGCTATAATGTGTAATAATGTCGCAATTTGGATGAATGCACTGAAAAAGGTGATAACTCCATATTTTTGTGTTTTTTTTACTATTAGTATAAAAATTGAAAATAATATGGTTATTTTTACCGTATATTTCACTCCAAACTGTAAACTCTTCCTTTTGCCAGCAATCGAGATTGATTTTACAGCGCCATGATTGTAGTCCACCCTAGATTTTCTACCCGAACGCCTTAAGCAACATGATGTTTGGAGTTTAATAGATTATTCCAATAATTTAAATACACTGGTATTGGTACATTTGGTAAAAATTATCACAACAATATGTATAGTAAAAATATTTTTAATGGAATTTAAAATTAACACCTCTAGGTAAATTTCTAAGAAATTAATTAAAATTCTAAGAAATCTATTTTTAACTGACACGCCGGCGTGTCCGCGGTCGTGGAAGGAATACAGTGTAATATTCATATTTTCTAGTCATAAATTAAATTAATAAAAAAAACTATTAATCTGATATAATATTTTAAATAAAACAATTTCTCAGATTTTCCTCTTTTCTAGTTTACTTTTTCATCCGACGTCTCGAATGCTTAAAGCAAAGAAGATCACAGAAGAGATTTAGGTTTTATCGTTTTAATAATTGTAGTTATTACAGATCGTATGAACTACTTTAAAATACTATCTTTAAAATGTTATTTAAAATATCAAATTTTCGCGTAAATCTAAGAAAATATTAACTTATCGAAGCAAGTGTATACTGAATATAAATATAATACCAGAATTTAATACAAACTAAAAGTGAAGTGAAACTAAATAGAACAAAAATGTGTTATTTTTATACCAGTATTTGACGTCTTCTATTAATCCAGAACTAAGATGTAACTTCGTCGCATCCAACGTATATTTTTTCTGCCATTTTAATGCTGGTGGGTCTTCATCCCGAACTGCAAAGTTTTCTCTTTAAAGTTATTTGGCTAATTTGAGCTTAGAAAGTTTACGTTCTTTCGTTTCGCCGTAAAACAAGAATATTAAAATATATTAACATTAAATATTTATAATAATATAGTCTATCTGTTTTATTATGAAATATATGAGTAACTATATTTAAATATGTTTTCTCCATTGTGTTGTTTTTAAAGAAAACAATTTATATAAATATCTTAGAAATAGAAATACACATTGCCTTTGCACTTATACTGTAATGTACTTGAGCGACCGAGCTTCGCTCGGAGTTCTTTTTTGTTATATCGTATTTTTTAAATAAAAAAAAAAATAAAAAAAAATATTAAAAAAAATAAAAAATAAACAGAAGTAAAAACTTTGTATCCGACCGGGGTTCGAACACGGACGCTTGACCACGATGCTTATGCCCGTTCGTGCGAAATTAGCGATCATATTTTGCGTGGAATAATGCGAAAGAAAACCGCATGAAAACTCGAAAGCACGCGTTTTTCCAGACATAAGACTAATCTAGACCGATTTTTTGCCCCCGAAATGTATGTGGGGGTACATATCAAATTTCAGGATAGGATCGCCGGGATAAATAAATATACAAGAATTGCTCGTTTAAATATATTAGAGAATTGATCGTAGCGAGTTAACATTTCATTTTCAAATTTCAACCTGGATATATCGGATAATGGTTATCAACGTTGTCTAGACTGATATGCATACGTTGAATACAAACATGTGCTTTGCACAAATTGAAGATGCAGATCAAAAATAACTTTTTATCATTCAGTACACAGCCATTGTTATTGTATCTCTTTGGGAGCGGATTTTTTCAATCAACAGAGAAGAGTTATTTGTACAAAACTGTAGTTCGTATAGTACAAAATACGATATAAACAAAATAAAAAATATAGTTTTATCTATTTATACCAAATTTTAAAATGTGTACAATATGTACACACTGTTAAAACATAATATGTATTATAACTTTACTAGCGATTTACCCACGCTTCGCTCTGGTTCGCCCCTAGTTACTTAAAAAATGGGTGGGGGCAGAAGGGTGAAAAATACTTTACGACTGATTCTCATACCTCATAATATACAAAAATCATTAAAATCGGTCCAGCCGTTCCGGAGGAGTGTGATCACAAACACCGTGACACGAGATATTTATATATGTACATATTAGAAGATTATACTTTGATTATATTATTTTTATGTAGTTAACATTTTTGGCCAACTATTATAAATGGGAAAGTTTGTATTGGTGTGTATGGCTGAGACGGCTGGATGGATTTAGATGAAATTTTGTACACTGATAGGCACATAGACCGTAGGGTCGCACCCTAGCCACCTACACTAATTATAAATTTGAAAGTTTGTGAGTACTGATGTATGGATGTTTGTTACTCTTTCACGTCAGAACGACTGAACGGATTTGGATGAAATTGGGCACAGAGATAGATTATAGTCTGGAATAACACATAGGCTACTTTTTGTCCCGGAAATAAATACGGTTCCCGTGGGATAGGTTTGTTTTTGTTTCCGGCGAACCCGAGCGAAACGATGGTGAACCGCTAGTACACACATAAATACAATGACGACAATAGAAAATTTATTACAATATAATATAATAAAATGGAACTTACTGGATTTCCCAGTCGCAAATGCAACCAAGAGTAAAAATAATAATTTTACTACTAACAAATTCATTGTTTGTTCTACAGATTGCACCTTCGGTTTAAATAAAATAAAACATATTTACTCGTTATATATAAAAGGTTATCTGAACTGTTAACTAATTAATCACACATTCGGGACCAGATTTCGATTTATTATTATGGATAAGACTTAATATTTTTCATATTTTCACGAATAATATGCATATATTTTAAAAATATTTTAAACGCATAAAACTAAACACAAAATAATTTTGTCTAGATATAAAGATAAATAAGAAACTTATTTAATTACATCATGTGAAAATTCCTTTAAAGGCATTATCAGAAATTTATTCCCTTAAAACCTTAGTAGGGGATTAGGAAGTATGAAATGAGCAAACGTAATATAGAAGTTTTAAAAATATGGACTGTGCAAAAAGTTTATAGCTGATACGAAAAAAAAGTAATAGGTTATTATATTATTTAAAATCATGCAACAATACTTAGAAGTAGAACAGTAGATAAGTACCTATATTTTAGATAAGTATATTCTATATATATATATTTTTTTCTCAAATTTTAATTTTAATAATTATTATGGTCAACTTTCGACCGTTGGATTAACACTAGTTATTATTATATCTAGCGACTCACCCTTGCTTCGCTCGGGTGCGTCCTTTATAGGTACGTTTTAATTTTTTTGAGTGGAACCCTAATTCTTTTTCTAAAATAAAAGTAGCCTAAGTTACTCTTTATAACATCAGCTATCTGCCAGTGAAAGTCCCGTCAAAATCATTCCAGCCGTATCGGAGATTAGCCGGAAAAAACAGACAGAGAAAAATTTAAATATTGTGTTTTTCTTCTAAGTACCATCCATACTTTCATATGCATTTAGTCGAAAGCTGTTATTTTGACATTACAGACAGGCACCTCAATTTTATTTATCTGTATAGATTAGTATGTAGTAATATTAGAATTAGTAGATTTATATTACACAAAAATATTTTTTGAAAATATAAATATACAAAGTAAATAATACTCATGTGTACGGTGAAATCTATATTCTGACTTTCGTTTGTAAAGTAAAATAAACAAAAATTTCGGGAGCATTCATTAACTTTTAATGAAGTCGATAGCCAACCTTCAATAATAATTAAAGTTTTGATAAAACATAACCAATAATTTTCATTATAGTAGGTAATGCTAAAAGCGTAAGTTTATATCATAGATCATTTATTAAGAACTAATTGCAAGACTTAGATGTATAAAACCCTTTTTTACCCGACTGCGGCGAAGTCCAAAAGAGGGTTATGTATTTGACTTGCTTCACGTTCACCCTTGGTAAACAGAAGCATCCCCCTGTCACTCTAGTATTACGACATTTCCTATGTATGAGTTTTATCTTGACATGTTTTCCCGTGGAAATAATACATTTTGCCGCCTTAAAAATTAGCTTATGTCACTCTTATCCAGAGTAATAGCTCTTGAGTCCTCCAACTATCTCCATATAACAGCACAAAGAAATTTTAAAAAAGCAGATTGGAAATCTTATACAGAACTACTAGAAAGATTATTTTTAGAGTTTAATGTGTCTAATGATTTGCAACACCTATACGATAGTTTTGTAGAAATCATGTATCTGGCAGCCGATATCTATATTCCCTACATTATAACATGCAATAACCCATGTAGTAAGTTTACACCGAGGCCTTACTGGAATCAAAACCTTTCCAAGTCTGTAGCAGAACGACGTTTAGCACTCGCAAAATTCCGACGTAACCCCATACCTGATAATCTAACCGAGCTACAGGATAAGATACGTCTATCACAACTTAGGATGCGTAATGCTCGTTCACACTCGTGGCAGAACATGTGCTCATCTGTCGACGAGTCTCTGTCGCTGGGTGAAGTATGGAAAAAGATGCAATGGGTAAAAGGCTACAAACGCCCAAGAAAATATATTGACGAAGGGAAAGCTAATGAACTATTACGAAACTTAACACCTGATTTTACAGTTCCTAATAAACAATTTTTTACATCAACAAATACGAAGTTAGAGACTCTTATTACGCTTTTAGAGGTTGAAAAATGCATTAAAACTAAGGATACATCTCCAGGATCTGATAACATATCTTACTCAATGATAAAACATTTGCCTCATAATGGTAAACTAGTATTAACAGAAATTTATAATAAATTTCTAACAAACTCTTTTGTACCTCGACAATGGCGAGATATTATTATATTACCAATCCCAAAACAGGGGCGTGATCCACAAGACATTGCGTCCTTTAGACCGATTTCCATGATGTCATGTTTATGTAAAGTCTTTCATAGCATTTTACTCAATAGATTAGAATGGTTTATTGAAAGAAATCATGTGTTATCCAAAAGTGTTACGGGATTTCGAAAATGTCATTCTACATTACACAATCTTACCACACTCGTTTCTAGAATACAATCGGGTCTTTCAAACAGGCGCAGTGCATTATGTTGCTTTATTGATATTGACAACGCCTATAATAATGTTGATGTTAACAGTCTATTACATATTATGGATAATTTAGGAGTAGGTTCTAAAATTTGCTCGTACTTAGAAAATTTTCTTAGAGAAAGATATTTAAAAATTCAAATCGAGAATCATAATATTTGTAGAAGCTCAGGCCGAGGGTTAGCTCAAGGGGATCCTCTTTCACCATTGCTATTTAATATGGTTACTTCAAATATATGTAAACTCGTAACCAGTGTATTTATCTCGCAGTACGCTGATGACTTCGTCTTATACTCAATCTGTGATAATGCACAGCGAGGTACTGAAATATTACAAGCTGCATTAAATTTAGTATCCAAACTTTTAAACGATATAGGTTTAAATATTTCAAGTGCTAAAAGTAAAGTAGTTTTTTTTAAATCCGGCAGTAAACGAGATAATATTGACTTAAAAATTGATGGAGTATCACTACCCGTAGTCGACACATATAAATATCTAGGCTTGTGGTTAGATCGATCTATGAGATGGTCAAAGCACTTAAATGAGCTTAAAAATAAATGTTTAAAATATGTTAATGTTTTTAAAGTATTGGCAGGCTCACAATGGGGAATTCATCCAACCCATTTGAGACGGCTTTATCTTTCACTTATTCGTAGTAAGCTGGACTATGCATGCTTTTTATATGGTAATAGTGCAAATACACATTTAAGGAAAATAGATATAATTCAAAATTGTTGTATGCGAATTATTGGGGGTTTTGTAAAGAGTACAGCTATACATGTAATGGAATCGGAACTCCACCTTGAGCCATTGGCCTTTCGTAGATATTTTTTAGGAGCAAAATTTTGGCTAAAGTGCAGGTCATTTGAAAATAATGAAATAATTGAATTAATTCATGAACTCGAAACTCTGAACCACAAACCGTACTGGACTAAAAAGAAAAAGCCTGTATTAACTCAGGTCCATAATTTTCTTATTTCTAGCCCCATTCAATGTAGTAAAGAATTAGATATGTTTAGTTTCGATACATGGATTGGCAACGTGGATTTTTCAAGAGCTATACAACCTAAGTTAGATATAATTAATAAGTCAAAAAGAACATATAACGTACATAATCTTAAAGTAGTCTGTAATGAAGCAATTCAAAGAATATACCCCAATTATTATTATTTGTTTACTGATGGGTCAAAGGATAAAAATGAAATTGGAGTAGCATTTTTTGATCCACAGAGTAAAAGCTCTCTGAAACTCCAAATAAATTGTAATATTTCTATAATGCATGCTGAGCTGATTGGTATTAGAGAAGCATTGTCATATATTAGTAGCATTAATTTAAATTATTTTGTAATTCTAACAGACTCAAAAAGCGCTCTCCAACATTTAATAAGATGTACTAATCCTAGTTTTAGGGGACTACCTATCGCCTATGACATTTTAAAAAATATATATAAGTTTACATCACCTAATAAAAAAGTGTCTTTACAATGGATACCTTCTCATATTGGTATAGATGGCAATGAAATAGCTGATTGTTTGGCGAAGGAAGCTTCTGTTAACGGTGTTCCTTTTGCGTGCTTATCTAACTACACAGAGGTCTTAAGTGTTGTTAAACTGAATGGTTATAGACAGTGGAAAGAATACTTTGACGAGAGATCTGTGACAAAAGGAATATGGTACAAGACAATACAGCCAAATTTATGTCGTAAACCTTGGTTTATTGGTGCCAATATGAGTAGGTCCGAAATCATAACAGCCTTGAGGCTTCGTTCCGGTCACATTCCATTGAATAGTTTTGCCTCCTTAATGGGTAAGGCGGTGTCATCTGCCTGTACAGAATGTAATAAAATTGAGGATGTACATCATATATTAGCTGAATGTGTCCGAAATGAAGCGGAAAGAAGAATTTTTTTATTAAGATTTAATATAAATTTATTAGACATAGGAGCTTTTAACAGCATTCTGGCCGATCCTATATCGAATCAGTCAAGAATGTTGTATAAAGTAGTACAAGTCGGATTAAGACATAGAAATACTTAATTTATGTTATTTATAAGGTTGATTATTGGAAATTGTATTCCTTATGTTTAGTTGTTCCTATAGGGGTGGCATGATCACTTTGTGACCAAACCCCTTTTAAAATAAAGATTAAAAAAAAAAAAAAATCGTTACTTGTTTTCTACGTGCAAGAAGGACAAACAAATACACATTCACATTTATAATACCTTGAATGGTTTTTTTTGGTCTTATAATAAATAATTTAGGCTGACCTGCGAACAAGCGAGCAAATAGACAAACGAGAATATCTAATATATAAATATTGAAAATATATGTATGTATGTAGAAAATAAATAATTTTTCATCATGTAACACCATGTATTTTTCTATGATAATGTGTTTATTTCCGCTCATTCTATTTATATACCCAAGCCCACTAAAGCGTTCTTTCGCTTTATAGGTGTTTAATGCTAAAGTGCGTGCAACCCTTGGCCATTTACTGTACATCTATAGAGTCTTTTATAGCCAGATATAACTCTAGCCAATAGGCATGTTCTATACGCTAC